AAAAAAAAAAAAAATTCTATATTTTCCTATGATTTATTATTTTAACTTTAAATGTAGATGAGTTTTACCTAAGGTAAACATTTAAATGAGAAAATCACATGGATTTTAGTTGAAAAAACAGAAGTAGCTTTAAAAGATTTATCGGACATATATAAAAAAATTTGGAGCAGGCAAATTAAAAAAAGTATAAGTTGAACAATATTTTTAGGATATATTACACTTTGCCCCTTAAAATTTGATCCATTTCTCACATTGACCTTTTAAGTTTGATTTTTTCTACTTTAGCCTTTCATGTTTGTAATCATTTCCACTTTGGTCTTTTAAATTGATATTTCCTACTTTGGCCCTTCATATTTGCAATCATTCCCACTCTACTCCTAAACTAACTTCCATCCAAAAAACTAATAGAATTTGCCACATCACCAACATATCAACTCCATGTGTGATATAAAAAATTCACTAAAGATACAAAAAATGAAAAATAAAAAACAAAAAAAATTTGGGTTGTGTTTGGTAAAGCTTTTCAATCACAATTTCACCCCTTCACGTGAACAAAGCGTTTGGAAGGGGTTTTCAAAAATTAATTCCATCACACATTTCAAAATACATTTCGGTTTTACGTTTGGCAAAACTCCTTCCAAAACAAACTTCCAAGCCAAAGATCTCACATTTTCGTACAATTTTTGAATTTTTGAGTCTATCCGGTTGTCCCTCCGGACATCCTCTCGAATGTTTGGCCGGTTGACCACTATAGTGAATCAAACATGCTGCATACCCCCAGTGGAGGTCGCGCCCCCAGTGACGTGGCGCGCCCCCACTGGCTGAAAACTTAAAAAAAAAAAAAAAAAAAACAGTTTTTTTTTTTTAGACCAATCCGGGGCCGACACCTCACTGGGGGTCGACCCCCAGTGGGGGTATGAAGCTTTTTTCATAGTGAATATATATATATATTTTGTGGCAATTGCCAATCTTTCCTACATACATGTATGTGTTTGTGCTATTGTAGACTAATTTTTTGTTGATTTTTCTTTCATAATTTGTAAATTTATTGGGTTTTGATTACTGGGTTTTTTTTTTTTGAATGTTCGATTTTTGTCTGTTGTGTTCTTCTTTATGATATTCATAAATTTCTCTCAAAATATATGTAGGTTCTATGTACAACTCATTGATTTTCTGTTCAACTGAATTGAGGCTTGTTGTTAAACTGGATGGCTAGCTGTATCCGGTTGACCGACCGAAAGACCCCTGGTTGACTTGCTAGTCAACCGGTGCTGAGCAGCTGGGAAAGGCTTCGACTTTTGCTCTTAAGCTCTGACTCTTATCAAAACAGCTCTATTTGGTCTTCTTGTTTTACACCAATGTCATCTACCAATATATAGAGTGAATTTGTAAATTATGACACTAATTATGAAGATGGTAAAGTTGTTCGTTGTTCAGTCTCTGATATAAAAGTTGGTGTTGAACAGATGATATAAATGACGAAGTACATGAAGGATGAATTTCTCATGGAATTGATGAAAATTAGCAAATAAAAAAACTCAAATAAAATTGAATTGTGTGGTAAACTGCGTACATGCTAACAATTTGTGTTATTGTAGACTAATTTTTTGTTGATTTTTCTTTCATAATTTGTAAATTTATTAGGTTTTGATTACTGATTTTTTTTTTTGAATGTTCGATTTTTGTCTGTTGTGTTCTTCTTAACGACATTCATAAATTTCTCTCAAAATATATGTAGGTTCTATATACAACTCATTGATTTTCTGTTCAACTGAATTGAGGCTTGCTGTTAAACTGGATGGCTAGGTGGATCCAGTTGACCGACCGAAAGACCCCCTGGTTGACTTGCTGGTCAACCGGTGCTGAGCAGCTGGAAAAGGCTTCGATTTTTGCTCTTAAGCTCTGACTCTTATCAAAACAGCTTTATTTGGTCTTCTTGTTTTACACCAATGTCATCTACCAATATATAGAGTGAATTTGTAAATTATGACACTAATTATGAAGATGGTAAAGTTGTTCGTTGTTCAGTCTCTGATATAAAAGTTGGTGTTGAACAGATGATATAAATGACGAAGTACATGAAGGATGTATTTCCCACGAAATTGATAAAAATTAGCAAAAAAAAAAAAATCGAATAAAATTGAATTATGTGTGGTAAACTGTTTAGATGCTGACAAAATGATATTGTAATTTTTTTTTTTTTGACTCCAACGTGGATAATAACTGATAATTTTTTTCGCCATTTATTTGAAAATAATAATACAATAAATTGCAAATAATTTGTGACAGTAATTATTAAAAATATAAAAATATTTTAACTAAAAAAAAATTCGAACCAAATATACAATCAAAATTTATTTTAAATCAGTAATTGAATATTTATTTTGAAAAAAAAAATTTATTTCCTTTGTAATATTTTCAATTAGAAAATTGATTGATGTTATTTTCTTTTAATAATTAATTTTTTTAATTGAATTTTAAAAAGAATTTGCTTATGAGTGTTGATCAGAATTTTCAATAGAGTTTTAAATAGTGTGTTTGGTTATGAGTTATAACAATTTGAATTAAGTTTTGAAAATTTTTTCCAAAACTTATAACCAAACTAATTAATTTTCTTATATCACATGTCACGTCAAGCATTAAATACTCAATTCAATACTCAACTCAAAACTCAATTCAAAACTCCTAACCAAACAAATTTTCTACGCTCAAATCATAATTCCAAAACTCACAAACTCAAAATACAATTCTATTATCAAATCATATTTAGAAAACTCTACCAAATGCTACCTGGAATTTTTTTTTTTTGTCTTTAGAGTTCACTAAAGATGAAAAAAAAATAATAGTAAACTTTTCATTTTAGAATTGACGATACATGTGTTTAAGTCAGTATATTTTCATTTTTTTTGTCTTTAGTAAACTTTTTTTTTTTTTTAGTTAAATTTGTTTTTATTCTTTTAGGTGCATCTAAGCTAGATGCATCTGTAATGTATTAATATTTATGAATAAATTTGAAAAAAAAAATTTACTACAGAATTAAAAAAAATTCTAATTTTTTTGTTTTTTTATTTTTCATTTTTTGCATCTTTAGTGAATTTTTTACATCACACACGGAGTTGATATGATGATGATGTGGTAGATTTTGTTAATTTTTTGAATAGAAATTAGTCTAGAAGTAAACTATAAACGATTGCAAACATGAAGGGTCAACGTAGGAGAGATTACAAACATGAAGGGTCAAAATGAGAAAAATCAAATTTAAATGATCAAAATAGAAAGGATTTAAAAAAGAAAGATCAAAGTGAGAAAGATTACAAACATAAAGAATTAAAGTGAAAAAAATCAAACTTAAAAAGTCAAAATAAAAAATAAATGAAACTTTAGAGGGACAAATTGTAATTTATCCATATTTTTAAAAAATTTGAGGGGCGCTGCCTGTAACTGTCCCAGTTGTGAGAGTGAGACCAACATAATCATTTTTATTTGTTTATTTTGTGTATATAATTAATCATTTTACTAATTTTTGTCAGTTGATATCAGCCACCTACCAAGGGTTGTTTATTGCTTAAAGCAAAATCCACAGCGAAAGCAATCTTCACTTCTTCTGCTAATTATTTTGTTTTCATATTTTATTATTTTTTAAAAATTAATCAATTGCTGTCAAAAACCCAAAATCCCAAAAACAAAGAAAAGAATGAAAGGTGGGTCCAAAACAAGTATAAACAAACACTCCACTTTATATACTTTACAAATGGGTACATGTAGTATACAACTGATCCAACTTTGCTCCTTCAAAATAATAAACAAACCTCATGTGATGAAATGATATGCAGGGATGAGATGGAAAAAGAGAAGTTACTTGCCCTTTCTTTTCCTTCTCCAAAAAAAAAAAAAATTTAAGAAAACTAAAGACCACCCAGTACACAAAACTCCCGTTGACGTAGGATTGAGAAAGATAGATATACGCAACATTACACAAATTTACTGAGAGATTATTTCTGTGACTTGAACCCGTGCACCAAGAACGCTAACGGAAAGTTTTACCAGTAGACTAAGCCACCCTTTATCATTCTCCAAAAATAAAAATAAAATGTGAAAAAAATAAGTAATTAAAGATTTTCCTAGTCCTAACTGTCTAATAATTAATAAACTAGGGCTATGTACCTGGCACTGGAATCTTTGTTGGATCGCACCAGCTTTGCAAGCCAGGCATTTTTTGTTCTTCTCACAAGTCACAACATACAAATGACAGGGTGGCTTCACTTCACTAACCTACACACACATACACTCATCATCCTCCTTTCCCTCAAAAGGCATAGATGGACACTAACCCACAAAAATTTGGGCACAAAAAACCAGAAGAAAAAAAACAAAAAAAACAAAAAAAAAAAAAAAGAAAAAAAAAAAAAAAGAGAAAGAAAAAATGCAAAAAAAAGAAAAGAAAAGAAAAGAATATCAAAGAAGAAGATCCATTCCCTTGTCCCCTTTCTTCAAGGAGCTCATGCAATGCTTTAGGAATTCTCTGTCCGCCTCAAGAGCTTGTAACCTCTCATAGAGATGATCCACCTCCTCTTCAACAAGCTTCTTGTTCTCCAACTCGTTTCTTTTCACACAAGGACTTTTCAAGATATCATAATCATACCCATTTACATGTCCATTCTCTACAAAAGTGTCTCCATTTTCTGTACTAATCGCATCAAAAAGTGGTAGAAGGGTCTTTCCCTTTGCACCTATGATATGATGTTTCCCATTCATTTGCTTGGAAAAACCATTTGCATTTGCAATCCCATTTACTCCTTCACCACCAAAACCCAAGTCCCCGTTTCCATTCTCTTCGTAGAAATGCTCAATTGGCTTTATGTCCTCAAAATGTTGTTCCTCTTCATCAGACAATGTAAAAAGCTTCTCTTCCAAAACCTTGAGTCGCTCTAGAATAGACAACCTCTCTTCCTCAAAGTTAGCCAATGATTCTTCCAAATTCAAAACTTCATCAATTGGCGTGTTGTGGTTTCCATTTTCTCGATCAAACCTATCTTCCTCTTTTGCCTCTTGATTTAAGTCAATAGATAGCCCATCACTATCCCCAACACTGCTAGAAGAAGCAGAGCAACTTTCACTTCTTGCGATACAATCCTTGCTTTTTCTCAACATTCTCATCTTCTCTTTGCCCTCGTACTCCAAAACCTTCTTTCTATACACTTCCAATCCTTTCTCTAGCTCTTGCTTTTCCTTTTCTCTCTTCACCATGAGCTCATTCAAAAGCTGCAAAGCTTCTTGATCGTACTCGGACTGTTCTTCCATCATTCTCTGGTACTGCAAAGCTTCCATTTGCATTGCAGCCTTCTCTTCTTGAAGCCTATTGATCATCGCCATAGTCTGGCTAGCTGCAACTGCAGAGGAACTTCTCTCCTCTTCAAGTTCCGCATATAAAGCATGTAAAGCTTTTCTCTCAGATCTTAATGCCGATTTCAAGTGTTCAATACTCGTAACTCCGTCACCACTCTCAAACTCGCTTATGACACTTCCATCCAAAGACTCTTCAGTACCCAATTCTCTTTTCTCGAGGAGTAACAATTTCTTGTGCAAGTGATGGAGATTTTCTATCGAAGTGGGTGTATCGGGAACTTTCTCTTCCTCAATCTCATTAAGCTCTGAACCAAGAGAAATTTCATTGTTCATCACAATCTCTCTCACCTCAATTGATATTGTTTTCAACTCAACTGACTCTTCCTCAGCTTGCTTAGAACCTAAAACAAAAACATTAAGATCAGCCCCACATTTTGTCCTACTTGGATATTCAGAGTAACAACTCATCACTGAATAATTTTTTTATTTTTTTATAGTTCTTCTACTTACACAGAAACGAACTAGACACAAACAACTCTCACATGGTTATGGGACTCATAAAATTACTGAGACGTGCCTCATGTGAGAGGCATGTGTCTGGTTTTGTGATCGGTTTTTGGTTTATAGACTTTCTCATTTTTTTTAAGTACGTTGGAGGCCATAGCCTTGGGGGCAAGGTGGACTCGAGCCATTGACCTTATAGTGAGGTGCAACAATTATCGTCAACTAGGCTAGCCCAAGTTGATTATTGAATAAAAATTGTACTTTTAAAAGGCTGTGAGAGGCTGACCTTGACTTTCATCCATCTGGAAAACAGCCGAACTGATAGAAGGATCTTCATTTATGCAAAGGATTTCTTGATTTTGAATCTCATCTGTTGGTTCTAGATCAGGAATTTCAGTTCCTATTGACACCTCTGCTTCAATTTCATTGACTGGCATTTGAAACACTTCTTCTGTGACTGCATCTATAGGGCAATTGTTTAATATTTAAATCAAAATTTAACATAAAAAGAATAAAAGAAAAACAAAAATTCTGGGTTTTTGGAAAAATTTGGAAAAACAACCAAACATAACCTAAGTACCTGGAGGAACATCTGAATCCCTTTCTTCTGCATCTGCTTCAACATGTTCATATACCTCCCTCACAAAATCACATTCTTTGGCATGAAATATAAGAGAATTATCATTCTCTTCTATTTCCATGGATTCAAACACTGCAAATTTGGCTTCCTCTTCCATCTCATTGGCAGAGAGTTCTGCCTCTCTTTCTCCTAATCTGGACCTATTCAAGTTCTCACCAACTGATTCAACTCGTGCTTCATCGCGTGACTCGGATTCCAAATTCTCTTCTCGATTGTCAAAATTCACATCATCTTCTTCCTTATTTCTGTACGCTCTCCGATTTTCCTCCATTGTCGAATCGATCAATTCAACTGGAATCAACCGATAACCACCATGACCAACAAAGAATTCCAGATGCTGAGGAGGAATTTCAACAGATTCATCTTCTCTGGTAAAAATCTGATTCAGGGCCTCACCAGAAGACGGATCCTCCATTATCACAACTGAATTGTCTTCCTTAATGGGTTCTTTCTCAGATTCCAAAGCCATAACTACTCTGTCAATTTCATCGCCATCCAATTCTCCCAATCCAGAGTTTGATACAGAAACAGAGCAATCCACATCTTCCTCATGATCTCTCACACCACAAAGCATCTGACTTTCATCGTTTTCCTCAATCGCATGATCATCTTGGCATCGATCGATCACAAAATCTGATCCGCTTCGATCCGAATTATCACCTTCTTCAATCTGATCGTCGTCATCATTCAAATCTACTTTCTGGGTATACTCCAAAACACCCCAAGAAGGCTTAATCACAATATAAGGAGAGTAAATTTTGCTATGAAAATTCACACCACAACAAGAACACTTGAAGCCCACATCACCATTCTCATCACTGACCTTATCTCCTTCATTCTCTATCATTCCAATCTCTTTAACCCATGGAAAGAAACTTAAATTCTTCGAAGCCCCACGATAGTCCGGTCTCGAGGATGAGCAATCCTCACACATTTCTTGCGATTCAGCCAATTTCCGATGATTAGAGCAATAACCCAATTTGGAAATCTCTGCGGCATGAGCTTCACAGAGAAGATCTCTGTGTGAATTCTTGTTCTTTCCAGGCTCGAAGATGTGATCGAGACGAGAACACCAGAGGCAGGGTGTTTTGAGACCAAAATAATCTGCAAATCTGATAATCAGATAAGAAAATAGAGAGTTGAGGAGGAGAAGAACTATCAGAATCCATTCAAGGACTGCGTAGATGAGAATGACAGTCAATTTGTTGCTGTTTCTATGCAACATGGTTGCAAATTTGTTGGCAGCCATGTTGATGCTCTGTTTCTTGGTATATACAGGGGACCAGAGAGAGAGAGATACAACAAAAAAATGGCTTAGTTTGTAGAGAGAGAGAGAGAGAGAGAGAGAGAGAGAGGGTTTAGAGAGTAGTTCCAGAGGTAGATGAGGAAGTGGTTTTATTAGAAAGGGTTTGTTTGATGAGACAGCCAAAGTAGACTTACTGCAAACCTTAGAAAAAAGAATTGAGTGAACCATACAAAATGAGAATGTTTTTTAACGTATTTGATTACTATGATTATTTTCAATTTTGACAAATTTTTAAGCAAACTATTTCAACATTTCAACATCTATTCTAGATTATTCATGTTGAAAATGCTGTATTTGTTTATTAAACTAAACTGTATCAATTTTTTAAGTGAAGATTCATTATTTTGGATTAGAGTAAAATAGGGTTGCAATTGAACCCCAGCAGGTGATAGAGTTAACTTTGGATCCAAACACCTTTTCTTTAAGCAGAGGGTATCAAATGGAAGGCCCACTGACAATAAAATGAGTTGGTAGGACCACACTCAAAGTAAGGTATTGGGCCCCATTAAGAATGCCAGGGTGCTGGTGCTCATCATGTATGTTTCTTTTCCTTATTCTATGGTCAATTGGAGTGCATGTAGTTGTAGTTTCATGATCTACATTTTGTTTATATGGAAGTGAAAAATGCATATTATTTCTTTTCAAATTATTATTTCTCCCTTTGTACTTGATTTCAGTCATGAAACCAAAAAATAAAAAATAAAAAACATTACACAAGAAGTTGAGACAGGTTTAAATATTCAATCATTAACTTCATTCTTTTTTACTTTATATGACAAAACTAATTGAGGATTTTCTGTCTCAAATTTTTTTTTTTTTTAATTCCAAATTTTCTCTTTATCACATGATCCAAGTTAAAGAGACAAATTGTGAGGTAGAAAGGTAATTTGAGACAAGAAACTATAAGGGATGTTAGTTTTTCTTGGCCCTGCTCTACTCCTACATTTTTGTCTCGTCTTACGTAAATTTTTCTTGCCTTAATAAGGAAGTGAGATGGATTTTGCTTCCTCCGCCCCATTTTAACTAAATCACACAATGATTATGGTTACTAAATCTATTTATATGTACGTAATACATTTATTTATTTATTTTTCATTTTAATAAAAATAAAACACTAAAATTTACACTTAACATTGATATTCATTCATTTATTTCTCATCTTACCTCTTAAAATTCTTGTTAATTATAAATTATTATTCATAATATATCATATTATCTATAATTTTTATTGATATTTTTATTTTTAAAATTACAAAATTAATCCATTCTCTACCCTGTCATCGCCACTGCCAAACCCTGATTTACCCCGCTTCAAATATAGAAGGAGGCAATTTTTTTAAAATCCAGCCCAAAATCGTCTTGTTGGCATCCTAAGTGGGACATAACCTATGATCTAGTTCGGCCAAAACTTATGCTTGAGCTCAAAATTTCTGCGGAAACTTATGTTTGAGTTGGGAAGTCCATTGGAATTACGGAGCGAAAGAAAATTAAAAATATATGTGTGCCCATTTTAATTCTCATTGAATGGATGTTTAGGACGGGAAAGAAAGAAAAATGAAATAAATAAAACACAAAAGGAGAAATTTACTGGGGCCAATTGAGAAATAGCTCAGTGAAGGCAGGATGGGTTACCAAACCTCTCCTATTTTCCGGCATAAGTAACCCATTATACCATGCATAACAAGTCCTTGTTACTATTCAAACCAAATCAAACAAAACCAAATCAAATCGAATCAATTCAAACCAAGTCTTAAGTCCCATCAAATAGAGTTGGTTATATGAATCCTTCTTCTTCACGTGGCTCTATCAAAGGCCATTTCATTAATCAAGTTAAATAGATTCATATCTTTATTTATTACGCTAGCCAACGTCAATCTAGATCTACCTCGTCCCTTAACACTTCAATCTATCATCACTGCATCGCATCTCTTCACTACTGCCTCTGTTGGTCTCCGTTGAATATAACTAAACCATCTCAATCTATTCTCTCTCAACTTATCTTCTATCAGTATTACTCCTATCCATTCCCAAACATACTCATTCATAATTCTGTCTTTTCTAGTCTTGCCACATATTCACCTTAGCATCATCATCTCAACAACACTCATCTTATCTATATGTTGTTTCTTGGTTACCCAATACTCCGTCACATACAACATCGATGGTCTAATAGCCGTTCTATAGAACTTTCCTTTTAGTTTAGCAGGTACTCGTTTATCGCACAGTATCCCAGACGCACTTCTCTACTTAAGCCACCTCGCCTTAATTCTATGGACCATATCCTTTTCAATTTCCTCCGCAGTTGTGATAATCGACCCTAAATAAAGAAAATGTTCACTCTTAGATAGTTCTTAGTTCTCAATCTTCACTTTTTCTCTACTTTCATTGTTACTGTTATTAAGTTTACACTCCATATATTCTGTCTTAGTTCTGTTTATCCTAAATCCTTTAGATTCAAGTGATTCTCTCCAAGTCTCCAACTTTGTGTTAACTCATTCTCTAGTATCATCCACTAACACGATATCATCTGCAAAAAACATACACCATGGTACATCATCTTGAATATTTCTCGTCAACTCATCCATAACTAAAACAAAAAGATAAGGACTTAAGGTAAATCATTAATGTAACCTTACAGTAATTGAAAATTCATTTGTCTTTCTCTCCAGCAGGCGATCTAATAGTGGTCATCACCCCTTTATACATGTTCCTAATCACATTAATATAACTTTTTGTTACCCATTTCTTCTCTAACACGCACCAGATTATATCCCGAGGCACTCTATCATATGCTTTCTCAAGATTGATATACACTATATGAATGTCTCTTTTCTTTTCTCTATAATTTTTTATTATTTTCCTAAGAAAATAGATCGCTTTCATTGTTGATCTCAAATTGATTCTTTGATACATCTGTTATATCTCACAATCGTCGTTCCATCACCATCTCCCATATTTTTATTATATGACACATCCTTATTATTATTCAAAAAATAAAAAATAAAAAACAAAAAATTAAAATAATTGATAGGTCAACACTTGATAAAAAAAAATGAATATGTAGCATATTCTAATATGATATTCAACAATTCTCTCATCTTTTCTATGTGACACTCCAGTTGTTTAATTAATTAAATTAAAAATAAATGAGTAAATAAATAAATAGAAAATAATATAAAATAATAGGAATATATTTAATTTCATAATTGCATGTGTTAAAATGTAATCTAATTTGAATTAAAAGGTATTAATTTTACCAAAACATAACCATACTAATGTATTAATTAGGTCAAATCAAAAGCCTAACCATGGAATTATTATGTTGTTAAGGGCCAAGGTAGAATTTAGAAAAAGGTGGCAAATGACTTGAAAATCATCTAATGAAGGTAGGAAGAAATGGCTTGGTTGGAGGCATCCCGGTACGCCACCTGTGGATGCAATGATTAAGGAGAAAATTCGGATAGGTGAATCAGCGAGTTGGGCCGTGTATATAAGGCGGGAGTGAGGCTGTAGTAATGGAGCATGTAAAATATTGATGTATTGATTGATTGATATTATTACAAGATTGTTGTCTTTCTATTTTGTACAAGAATTCCTATTATATAGGAGATGATTCTGGAGTAGGTGAGGAGTGAGTGGTGGAGGTAGGTTTGGTGGAGTGTAGTAGGTGATAAAAGAGTGAGTCGGGAACGGAAATTAAGTTAAAAGAATTAATATTGAGGTGAGTTATATTATATTTTGAGTAGTTATAAATTATTTTATTATTTTATGTAAATTATATATATATATATATATATTTAATTATATTAACATTCAATTATGTTATTCATTTTATGAGTCATGTTTATTTAAAATTGAAATTCATGGATATAATTGTTTAAATTATAGAATTTATTTGGCAATGAGTGTATAACTATTTATTTTTATAAATACCACTACGGAGGTCTCATGTCTTAAGAAACTTAAATAATCATTGACCATCTGAATTGTCACTTTAATGACCCTCTGACGGTCCCATACCTTGGGAAACTTATAACAATTGACCCTCTGATTAGTCACTTCATGACCCTCTGTCTGTCATGGATCCATTGACCATCTGTTCTGCTTTGTGATTATGATTGTTTTGTATATACGGATTTTATATTATATGTCTGTTATTTAAAATAATTTATTCGAACCAAACTTTTCATTATTTAGCCTAAATAATTATCTATGGTAATCTGTATACCCTTATGTTCTTAGTATAATATTCCTCACTCTGCCATGTGCTTATAGTTGTTAAAACCTTTTCAGGTGAAGAAACTTAAGGAATAATGGTTTTACCTTATTAATCAGGATCCAAACTCGAGATGAATATCGTGTTTTTTTCTTTTCTTTTTTTTTTTTCTTTTGTGTTTATTTGTAATTATTATCTAACTTATGTTACATAAAAAATAATTTTCATGTATGTTTTATACATTTATCTACATCTTTTATTTCATTCCACTGCATTATTTAATTTAGTTCAAACTAATTTTAAAAATTTTAAAATTTAATTAGTTGTGAATCCAACCTTAAGTACTGGGAATGGGGGTGACATTCTCAATAGAGAGCAACCATGTCAATTGGTTTTGGACTAACTTTCTACTCAAGAATAACAACTTAAAAAAAAAAAACCCCTTTGTTAGTTGGGTCTAATTGCGGGGTCCTATTTTAAAATGTTAATTTCTCACTTCCAAACAATCCACCTTGATGCTGTAAGTTCTTAAATGTCTTTTATGTTGATATATGAAAATGAGTAAACAAGGTTAAAAGTCAAATCCCAAGTTTATCTAGTTACATGCAGCTCTTTGGGTAATGTCACTCCATAATTTAGTACATTTTTAGGCCATAACTTTGCAAATCAAATAATAAGGCCAGAGATTCTATATCCCCAAAATAAATAGTTGAGAAATGTGCAACAATTTAACATTTTGTTAACCATCAAATAAGCCTGTCTTTTGTTAATTATGTCTGAAGTAAAACGCTACTATGAGTTTTTCCCATGAAAATGTTTTTTTTGCTTTCACATAAATTTGAAAAGAATTCCAATGTTTC